AATTTCCTCCAAAAAAATTCTAGAGCCTAATTCACATTATTCCAAAAAAAAAAAAAAAAAAAAATTGTAAAAGGTAAAAAAATAAAACACACACACACACAACAAAAAGAAAAAGAAAACATAAAAGGGAAAGAACAAATTGTACCATTTTTTGTTTTTAAAACACATGTCCACCCAACTTCAAAAAATTTCTCTATTTCCAATTTTTTTTATTTTAAATTTAGAAAATTTATTAACATATATATCAACTATATATAATGGTTTATAATGCCTCCAGAAAGGTCAAAACAAAAAAGAAAAAAAAAATGTAAAAGGAAAAATAAATTACCATTTTTGTTTGAAAATAAAAAACTAAAAAGGCTGAGAAAAAAAAGAGACTACTATTTTTGTTTTTAAAACAGACGTCCACCCAACTTCAGTTTCATAGTCACTTATATTTTCAAAATAATATTCTTATCTATCTATACGACTTATAAAAATGTATAAAAAAGTTAATTATTTCAATACATTTTTATACTATTTTAAATTAAAAAAATATTATTAATAGTATTTTTAAATTATGTGATGGTTCATTGTCTACAAAGTTTTCTAACATTTATTTTTCTTAAATTATGTGATAGATCATTGTTTCAAGGTGTGTCTTGTGATTTACCAGAATCTTCATCTTTTTGTTTAGTTGGGGTTAGATGATGCATTACTGCCTTCTATAGCAATGGGAGTAATGCATTTGGCATCCTCATTTGGAATATGATATTCGTTTTCATTAGCTCAATAACATTTGTACATGTTCATGTATTAGTACTAAAATAAAATATCTCATTTCTTTCCCTTTTTCTTTTGGCAAAAACAAGCTACCTCCCATCACTTTTGCCCTGGAGTACATATTCTTCCTCCATAAAAAACTGGGTATATGATTTAAAAAATGCACATAGATTCATTTGGATCTCTAACCAAGTTGTTCCTACCAATAAAATTGGAAGTTTTGTTACCTAAAACAAGGAATTGAAGAAAATAAAATTTTATTTGTTGCAGGATATTCTTGAAGAACTCTCCAACTATGACATCAATATTAGGTAACCTTAACCTTAATTCAAGTCATTTTTTATATATGTTATTTATTAAAACTCTTCATTTTTTTCTTTTATCAGTTAGTGTTTTTAAAAAAATTATTCATATGATATTGTTTATGGAAAAATATTGGTCATGCAAGTGAATGGTGTTTGCCTTTTCAATTCATTATCGAATTTGTGATACTTGTTTGCTACAGATTAATTTTTTTAAGAACTGAATAAATTAATTCTCCAATTATCTCGGTAAGCCTTTAGAAAGTTAGGTTCCATTCAATATTTTTCCATTTATGGTTGAATATAACCCTACTTACATTGAATGTGAATAACGTTCAAATGGATTAGTCCCGACCAAAGGATTCAAGTCAACCCATCAACATGAAGTTAGCTATATAATCAGCTCTAAAGGTACTAAATTTACATATAGTTGTATTTTTTTAAAATTTAATTATTTATATGCATTTTAATCGTCTATATGAATTGAAATCAGAACATCATTGTATTGTATGCGTTTGTGTAAATTTTGATTGAATAGATTGAGTTCATTTCGGAGCTTATGGTTCAAATATTTCATGATGGTAGTTTTTGAGGATTTAAGTGTGTTTCAATTTGATTTTAGTATTTGTAAAATAAAATATTTTTTAAATGCATGGTGTGAACCATATTCAATCCCATTGCATTTGTTATTCATAGTTCAAATCTTTTATATAATCATATTTAATAAGTTAGTTATAATTAGTTCCAAAATACTCAATATACATAAGTTTGTATTTATAAATAATATTATTTTTTTTTGTATTTACTTTAATTGTTTATTCGAATTGAAATCAAAGTATATCATTGTATTACATGGATTTGTGTAAATTATGATCGTATATATTGAGTTCAATTTCGTTTTTATACTTCAAATATTTTGTAATGGTGTTTATTTAAGGATTTAAGTATATTTCAATTTGATTTTAGTGTGTGCAAAAAAAAAAAAAAAAAAAAAATCATAATTAATTCACCACGTGCATCACACGTGAATTTTGCTAGTATATATATATGTGTGTGTGTAAAAAATAAACTAAAAATCATATATATACATAGGGCGGGACCAGACCAGGGGACATGTGCCTCCTGGGCACACATTCGCTCTGCCCCTGGCTATGGTGGATGTGGTTGTGGTGGTGGCACATGGCCTAGGTTTTTTATTTCAGTATAACAATATATATATATATATATATATATATATATATATATATATATATATAGACAATATTAAATATTCAGTAAAATATAATTTGATGAATAACATAATAATTTTAATTTGATACTCAAAAATTGTAATAGTATGCGGTTGTGGTGGTGACACATGGCCTAGGTTTTTTTATTTCAGTATAACAATATATATATATATATATATATATATATATATATATATATATATATATATAAAATATTAAATATTCAGTAAAATATAATTTGATGAATAACAAAATAATTTTAATTTGATACTCAAAAATTGTAATAGTTATAAGTTAATTTGTTTGGTCTTATGGAATTAAGAACGAAAAGAAAATTAACTCTCTAGTGCATGTCATTTACTTCTAGGAATTGTGTTGATGGGGATAATAAATGAAAACTTTAATGTTTGCTATTATCAGGTCTTCCTTGGCTCCACTACGTAACATATATATTGAGGAGCCAAAATGAGACTTTGTTTAGTGACAATCACACGGCAGTTGACTATGAACAATGATTTGCATAAAGAGAAAATTACACGATAAATTCGATTAGAATTACATACTACTGACGTTATGAATAAGAATCCACAGTGGGCAGGACTTCGGTCTTTCGAATCAAATAAGAATCAACATTCAATAGGAAGGAGGCTTACCTATTTTAAGAGGCGCTTTACGGATTAGCATTAACATTAGCATATGCAACCACGCACCTCCTTGCAAAAGATGCGGAAGAACCCTAACACCCTACATAGTGGTATGGACGTGATGATGACGACGAACAAACGTATATATATGTACTACCAACATATGTACATATGTGTACTACAACATAATATAAGGGTGGGATTGGCATTTTCAATTTTTAGCATATGCACGTGACTATTTTATGGCCAAAGTTTACTGGAACAGTGTCATTTGGCTTTTTTTTTTTTTTTTTTTTTGCAAAAAGTGTAATAGTTTAGGGAATTTTTTGTTAAAAAAATAGTTCAGGGAGATGTTTTTTGGAGAGAGGGTAAAGTCTAAGGCATTTTTTTTTCACATTACCCCATATAATATATATTTTGATTTCTAATGACTTGACATGTGGCCATGTCGGATGACTTCATTGGCTTGACTTGGAGTCTTTTGGTGGAACTAACTTATTATTGCACCAATTCCATAGTAACGATGACTTCATTGACTTGACTTGAAGTCATTGGGTGGAAAGACATTGCATCAATTTTATAGTCACAATGCACATGTTCATGCATGTCTCAAAAAACAAAAAAATAAAAAGTCGTTAATTGAAACTTCAAAGTCTTGTCTCATCATTCTTAGCCTCACAAAGGCTAAAAGATACAAAGAGAGTAAACATCATGATTTCGTCAATATATTCACACAAATTAGTCGAAATTATTCGATTTTTCAACTCTAAATTATTATTCTTATAAATTTTTATATAAGACGTGTATAATGTATAAAAGTAAAAATGTGAAATGATGTAAACTAAAATTTAACAATAACTACAAAAAAATCTAAAAGAGAGTTCCAATGTCATAATTTTTTGTTAATTTTTTTTTAAAAAAATATATTCAGTAAAATATAATTTGATGAATAACAGAATAATTTTTATTTGATACTAAAAAATTGTAATAGTTCTAAGTTAATTTGTTTAGTATTATGGAATTAAGAATGAAAAGAAAATCAACTCTGTAGTTCGTGTCATTTACTTCTAATAATTGGGTTGTAGGGGATGGACAATAAATGAAGACTTTATGTTTGTCATTATAAGGTCTTCCTTGACTCCACCACGTAACATATACGTTGAGGAGTCAAAATGAGACTTTGTTTAGTGACAATCACATCGCAGTTGACGATAAACAGTAATCTGCATAAAGAGTAAATTACACATAATTCGAGAGTCCGGTAAATCGGATTAGAATTACATATTATTGATGATGACATCATCTTTTATTTAAATAAATTAATCATGCGTGCCTAATATTTGAACTACTTATCATCTTAATAGGAATTACTGATCCCATTATAAATTGAGTAAACATCATGATTTTGTCACTCCACTCGTTGGAATTGTACTATTTTCGAACTCTAAATTATTATCTTTATAAATTTATATATAAGATGTGTAGAATGTCTAAAAACTAAAGAAGTGAGATGATGTGAACTAAAATTTAAAATAACTATAAAAAATCTAAAATAGAGTTGGTAAATGATGCATGAACACATTTATTACAAAATAGGAAGATTTGGTGGACTAATAATTGTTGGCGAACTAATCCTCTGTGGAAGTATTTGGCGTAAATTTGGTGCAAGACTAATGATATTAGGAGCTTCTCTGAAACGACTAGCAATAACTAGAAAAAAAATCTAAAACAGATTGTGCTTCAACTTTTCTTTGAAAGGGTTAAATTGGGATGGGCCCGATGCCCCAAGAGTAAGCCCAAGTGAGCTAGCTTTGATAAGATTTGCCATAATTCACCATCATTGTTTCTATCTTTTGGACAAGACCTCTAAGCAAGAAAAATCACCAAGTGATTAGTCTTTCCACTAAAACTCTTTACAAATCACTAAAATCTTTCTTAAAGTCTTTGGCGTAAATTTGGTGCAAGACTAATGAATAGTAGTAACTTCTCTGCAACGACGTCATGAATGCGCTTATAAAAGACACAGCTGTGTGAATACTACTATCATTGCATATCTTCAAGAACACAATGGCTAACACCACATTTCTTAGTCTGCTTCTTGTTCGTCTCCTTTTTCTTGTAATGTTGTTTTTAGGGTCATCGTCATTTTTGGTGAACAACATGACAAAACTCACCTCTGCCAAGTGCATTGAGATGGAGAGGAAAGCACTCGTCAACTTCAAACACGGTCTCGAAGATCACACGGGTAGCCTTTCTTCTTGGAAGGGCGAAGATTGTTGTCAATGGAGTGGCATCGAATGCAACAACATAACCGGACATGTCGCCAAGCTCGATCTCCGAGGTAAGGCTTTTGATCCATATGAGGATGTTGTACCTTACCCAAGGTCGCGTTTGGGAGGTAAGATAAGTTCTTCTTTGCTTAAGTTGAAATATTTGAATTATTTGGACCTGAGCTCCAATGATTTTGGAGGAATTCGAATTCCTAAATTCTTGGGTATGTTTGAGAACTTGAGATATCTCAATCTCTCTTCTTCCATGTTTGGCGGTGAGATTCCATCTCATCTTGGAAATCTATCTAGCCTGAATTATCTTGATCTCGGGTTTGATGATTCATTATGGCTTGTTGAGGGTATTTACCTACACACTTCAAATTTGAAATGGCTCTCGGGTCTCTCTTCTTTGAAATACCTTAACATGCAAAACTTGGAAGTCAATGACACTAATTGGCTGCAATTAGTTAACATGCTTCCTAACCTCATGGAGTTACACTTGCCTGGGTGTGGTCTACCGAGCCTTCCACTCTCACTCCCGTTTGTTAACTTAACTTTGCTTTCGGTTCTTGACATTTCTGGTAATTGGTTGAACTCCTCAATACCAAACTGGTTGTCCAATCTCACGAGCCTCACCAAACTTGATCTTAGCCAAAATTATTTTAGTGGCGTCATTTCGAGTGAATTCGTGAAGTTGACGTCTTTGGAAGACCTTCATTTGTCTTATAATAGTTTTGAAGGTCAAGTACCAATATTTTTTGGGAATCTTTGCATGCTTAAAATTTTATACCTTCAAGGAAACAGTTTCAGCGGTGAGGTAGTTGAGTTTTTTGGTGCACTCTCGGGTTGTCCAACCAGTAGCTTAATGTCACTAAGTCTAGCAGACAACTCTTTTGAAGGGGAACTGCCCGGTTCAATAGGAAAACTCAACAATCTTCAGCGATTGTATCTCTCGGGAAACTCTTTCTGGGGTTCAATTCCGAAATCTATTGGAAATTTGTCATCCTTGCAAAAATTTGACCTCTCTTCCAATCAAATGAATGGAACCATTCCTGAAAGTTTTGGACAGCTCTCAAAACTCAGATTCCTATATCTCTCGGAAAACTCTTTTGAAGTGGAACTGCCCGATTCAATAGGAATACTCAACAATCTTCAACAATTGGATCTCGCGGCAAACTCTTTCTGGGGTTCAATTCCGAAATCGATTGGAAATTTGCCATCCTTGCAAGAATTTGACCTCTCTGCCAATCAAATGAATGGAACCATTCCTGAAAGTTTTGGACAGCTCTCAAAACTCAGATTCCTATATCTCGAAAGTAATTCATGGGAAGGAGTCGTCACAGAGGCCCAGTTGATGAATCTCACAAGATTAGAAGAGTTTAGAATATCAACAGAAAAATTCGGATCCTTGATTTTCAATGTGACATACGAGTGGGTACCTCCTTTCAGGCTCAAATTTCTTGCAATAGAAAACTGCCTGGTGGGTCGTAGATTTCCGGTATGGCTTCAAGTTCAAAATGAATGTTGGAATTGCAGATACTCATGTGTCCCTTACGAATGTTGGAATTGCAGATACCATTGCCGAGGTATGGTTTTCCATGTTATCTTCTCAAGTTGTCCATTTGGATCTATCTAACAACCAAATAAAAGGGAAGCTACCAATCCATTTAGAATATCCAGAGTTAAATAGTATCGACTTGAGTATTAACTGTTTTGAGGGTTTGCTGCCACTTTGGTCCACTAATGCGTCCAATTTAATTCTTTATAGCAACTTATTTTCGGGCCCAATTCCATCAAATATGGATAAATTGATGCCGAAGGTAGGAGTTTTACTTCTGTCCGAGAATCGTCTAAATGGTACCATTCCATCATCGATATGTACAATGGAGAATTTAGAATATCTTGTCTTGGGGACCAATCAACTATTCGGCGAGCTCCCTCATTGTTGGAACAAATTGCAAATGTTAAAGCTTTTGGATGTAGCGAACAATAGCCTTTCAGGTAATATTCCAAGTTCAATTGGTTCTCTAAGTTCTCTTGAAACATTATTGTTGAGTAGCAATAATTTAAATGGACAAATTCCTCAAACCTTGCAAAATTGTTCAATGATTTGTATCATTGACCTTGGGGGAAACAGATTAAATGGAAAACTACCTTTGTGGATTGGACACAATACAACTCCATTTCTTCAGCTGTTACGTCTAAGATCCAACTCATTCAGAGGAAGCATTCCTCAACAATGGTGCAATCTTAAAAGCCTTCACATCTTAGATCTTGCACACAACAATCTTTCGGGGGTCATTCCCACTTGTTTGGCAAATTTATCATTATCGGCTTACAACAATTACATCGCATTAGTGTGGAGCAAATAAGTTTGGTGGCAAAAGGAAGAGAACTGAGATATGGTTGGACTCTACGATTTGTCAACAGCATTGATTTTTCAGCAAATAGCTTAGTTGGTGAAATCCCTAAAGAGATAACAAACCTAGTTGCACTTGGTACCTTAAATTTTTCAATGAATCGTCTGTTTGGACGCATACCAGAGAACATTGGAAATTTACGAAATTTGGAAACCTTAGATCTTTCAAACAACAATCTCTCAGGACCAATTCCTCAAAGTTTATCTTCACTGTTTTTTTTGAACCACTTGAATCTGTCTCACAACAACTTGGTAGGAAAAATTCCAACTGGCAATTAGCTCCAAACATTCGATGATCCGTCGATTTATGAAGGTAACCCCTTACTGTGTGGGCTTCCTTTTACCAAGTGCCTAGGCGATGTTACATCTAATGTGCCTCCTCTCAATGGAGGTGGTCTGAATGATAGTGACAACGGAAATGATCTTGACATGGCATGGTTCTATTATAGCATGGGACCGGGATTTGTTGTCGGATTTTGGGTTGTTTTGGGTACTTTGTTGATAAAGAAGACATGGAGGCATGCCTTGTTTCAATTCGTGGAGAACATGACCTAATGATTGCATTGAGAAGGGCTCGTTTGTAATCTATTTGTTTTCAAGTGAAATATAGTACCCTTACCCATGTGATTTGTAAGTGCAATCCTATGTGATTTGCTTGGTTGTTTTCCTCTTTGTAATTGTGTGCGCGCAATAATATGTGTAATTGTGTGTGTGCATTAATATATGCATTGTCCTGTATAGTTCAATCACATTGCAATTTGTATACCACTCGAGCATATTTTATCCTTTTTATCACAAAATAAGCTCCTGATTTCACTCACCTTTCAACATTTTCTGATGGATGATTTAGACACTGAGATTAATTTAAAATTGAAATCTTTACTTAATGGGGCAAAAATGATTTGTTGTTGCTCCTTATATTAAAAAATTTGGTTTAGTTTTGTTAAGTGACCTTAAAAACAGATTTTTTATCAAATATAATTTTTGAAAAATCATGTGACACATAAGTTTACATATATTTATGAGATGGGGAGTTCAATTATGCTACTGAAAATTATTCCTCGTACTGAAATATCCGCAAAATATTGTGATTCCCGTGTCTGTATCCTTTAGAATTTCACTAGAAATTACAATTAAATTTGACTTTAGACAAGAAATTACTATTAAATTCGAATATAATTTCGATTTTTAAAACAAATGTAATGCACCAAACATTTCTATGTCTACATATATTCTAGATAAACAATTCAAAAAAAAATTCAATACAGCCAACAAAGCTGAAATCTAAAATCTAAGAAAAAGAAAAGCAAATATCAAAGAAATAATTAAAATACAGCCCACAGAGCTAAAATGTTAGTAGTTGTTTTAATCACATAAAGAAAATATTTTTTTATTTTTTTTATCCTCACAAAGGAAGGGAAGGAGGCCTCAAACACGAACTAGATCACTGAATAATACCCTATCACATAAAAATAAAAATAATAAATAAATAAATAAATTAAGACTGAAATGGACATAGAAAAGTGAAATCAAGATGCTAATTAAGAACCAAACTCTCACATAATCTTCGAAATCCATGGTGTTTCTTCTCCCAAAATCCATGGTGTTCCAATAGCAACCTAGCATCATCACAAAACACATGAAGAAAACTGAAAATTGACAATATGATATAATGGTAGTTCAGATAAAACAATATATTATTGCCATTCATATATATCCAAATAAAAGATCTCAACTGTTTTATCTCCTCAAATCACTTTACCAAACCTAATACACGGTGTCACGTACCTAAACTTAGTGGTCGACTCTAACCCAACCTTACCAACCATCCAAAAGAAACCCAATACACACGATAAACAGAAGTGAGCCAACCAAATCACAAGCTCTAGTCTATCACATGCCTCTCAGGAGTGAATATCTGAAAAGATATAAAGGAGAAGTTCAAAAGTTTAGCAAGAAATTGCTAAATACAATCATTGTTTAACAAATCAATCTAACCATGTTCTATTATATATAAATACAACTCATATAAGGTACATTAATCAAACATATTATATATAAGGAGAACAATAAACAATATTAAGATAATGACAAACCATCATAAACATTGGATGATAGCATCAATTATGACACATTGAGGTGTCTCAGATGACCGTCGTGAGAAATTTATCCAAAATCGTCATCTGGTTTCTGTTTCTATAGAATCATAAATGAGAGGAGAGAAAAAAAAAACACATAATGCATAAATATACGTGTGTGTGTGCGCGCGTGCGTGCATAATCAAACAGACAGATATAGAGAGAGGGTGAGAGCAGAATGGATAGAAAAAAAGAATGATTATTGCTTCAGTGGGTGCGTTGAGACAACAGGAAAATAAGAGAAAATTTAGAACTTGAGTGATTATATATTTGTAGAATCATAGATATAATAAAATTATGTTATTAATTTATTACCGTATCCTAGCCGTGTCTATTTTTATTTTATTTTTTTAAAATTTATAAATATAGGAAGTTGACAAAATAAATAAATAAATAAATAAATTGTTTAAGCGGGTTAAGATGGACCCACATTTAGCATAATAATCAAATTTATCTCCAAAAACATAAATAAAACATAAACATAACAGATTAACAAAGGTACAACTGATCAAGAAATACCCATGCATAAATCAATTAGGAACATATGAACAAGAAACTAAGAAACCAAAACAAGGCTTGATGTCGAAGAGCAACTGAATTTTGAGTCTTCAATGTTCCCCAAATTCAGAATTCCATCTTTATCTTTACTATTTTGGGCCCCAAGATCTTTGGGATTTCTTATTAAAAGAGCCCAACCCATCAAAACAGTGTATAAGCCCAAAAAAACAAGGCCGAACAAGGCACACAATAAAATTGTATAGAATCGGGGAATCTACAATTTTATCATACCATTCTACCCAAAGCGATTTTCATGCAATTTAACTCATTTTGGGGGTCTAGGATCGTAGAATCGTGGGATTCTACAAACTAGAATCATGATTTTAACAACCTTGATTCAATGCATTCTCAAGCATTGTCCTCATCCTCAAAAGTGTAATCATCCATCTCTTATATCATTTACAATTGTACGCCATTTAGGTAAAGTGTTTGCACTTACAGACTTAACATTCCAAACATGAACTCAAAACTTACGAAGAGTATATCTAAAATTCATCATCCATATTCAGCTTATATACCCGTGGAACTCTTTAGTGCTTTCCCATACTCTCGACTTTAATATTTAAAAGTACCCATTTTTGGGTAATTATATTATTAAACACCCTAGACTCAGTCTAAAATTACTTAATTAAGTAAATTTTTATTTTGAACTACCAAAAATATTTTTTTTGGTAATTTATGAAATTTTCTGAAACTTATTTATATTTTTCTCTAAATTTTATTAATTATAAATAATTCTCAGATGGATAAGAGGGGCCCATCATGCTGTCCTAAGCATGTGGAGTCAGGAAGGTCCATTGTGCTGCCAAACCACCACCCATCGAAGCCTCACACGCCCCACGCATCTCCAGGTGCACGTGGACTTGCGTCGCTCACTGTTCCTCTTCTTCCCCAATTGTTTTCTGATCAAATTTACGCCCATGAACCCTATTTTGCAACCCAGCCTTTGCAAACCCAAATTCGACCACCAAATAGCCTCAATACATGTTTAAATTATGGGCAATTCAAAATGGATTCAAAAATCAAGTTATTGAGTGAAATTTGTGTTCCTTTGCAAGTTCGTGCAACCAAATCGAATTCGACAACAAGTTCCTTTTTAACCATCTATGCAACTTATGTGTATATACAGAATACAGGTTTTCTTGAGAGTTAGAACTTGATCATACTAATTCACATATAATCATATGCACATGTATAATCTGCTCATATACCTATCTAGTTACTCATTTATCAATACCTCAACCTATACTTGCATTGATTATGCTTTCTATATTTAACCCACCAAATTTGATAACAAGCTTAGTCCTCGTTCATTAGACAATTTCCAGCCAATCAAAAACAATAATTACATCTTGTTAAGCAGTCAATTATTATTCATGAGGCTTAAAAACACTGATAATTGAAGTCATTGGTTTCCTGTAAATTACGTGTCACTTTAATCTATTAAAACAATTTTAAATTAATTAAATTAATCTAAAAAATTCAAATAAACTAACTTACTATTATATACCAAATTCTTAATTAGAGTAGGGCTACTCATATACTACTATAGTATAAAATTTGCAAGATTAATCATTTGACCCTCAACTATTTTAAAAATCAATTTTAAACCTTTGTGGGTATTACACATAGGATTTACTACCAAACACAACAGTCATTCCAAAGTTGAAGTCTATCAAATATCACAAATTATCATTAAATCAATCAAATAACATTAAAATAAATTGGGATTTAGTTACTGAATTAATTTTACCTTGGTGGATTATAGTAACTTTTTTACACCTGCATATCAAGACATCCGTATCCGTATCCGTAATTCCCAAATACACCTTTGCTTCAAAGGTTTCCACATGATTGTCATCCTTATTCTTATCCTTGGCCTCAAAGGTAATATAATACATGAAACCACGAACAGGCTTCGAGTTTGCCTTCACAACCTTTACAAATTCGTAATTTGCATCCTACAAGAAATTTTACAATATAGGAGAAGGGTTAAAAAGAATTGAAAATTTATTGCACAAAAGGATAAACAAACGGTAAAAATAAAACTACATACGTATCTTCAATGGTAATTATCAACTGCTAAATTTGAACATCTGTTAAGCTGTTTAAATAATCGGTGATCCGTGAACTCCACACCAGGCCTGAGAAATGGAATAATGATACCCAATGCAAAGGTTTGGGGAAATTAAGGAACATCAAACCCCTGTAATGTACATAAAATTTAGTCATGCGATAGATTATTGACATTCAATACATATACATATATATATATATATACATATATATATATATATATATATATATATATATATATATACAAATTAACTATTGAGGGCTTTACTTTGATGTTCCAGTAAAATAGGCTATAGAAACTTAAGGTGTAATCACAGTTCAGAGAAAACAAAAACAAAGAAGTTCAAATGGCAATAAATTATTGACATTATTCATATAGATCCATATAATATATCTCCACTGTTTCATCTCCTCAAATCAAGTAATGAGAAAACCTCACCAATAAATTATTTTTTTTTCTGTTTTTCATTTTAAATTTTCAATTCAAAAGATGTCGAAACAAGAAAAAATTATGAGAGAGAATAACGTGACAGACAAGAAGTAACATTACTTTCAAAGAACTGATCAGTATTATTATTCAACTAAAGATAGATTTGGTACTGTTATACATAACATTAACATTGTAGACCATGAGTTTCCAATGTGATGGAGCATACAAAAATAATAATAATAATAATATATATATATATATATATATATATATATATATATATATTACAATACACTCAAATTAAAATCCACATTAACCAAGATACAAGTGAACTTTAATAGCTAGCAAGAAGACACATATGAGAGCAAAATAGAGCAAAGCATGAATGAAAATGGCCGCACCACTAGTACGAAAGTTGCCTAAATCTATGCATCCATGGTTTCCAAGCACTTGAAACAGCACACCCGGTGATAACAGAATGAATAGCACCACTGCAACAAACACTGGACCCAGTTCAACATCTTTCCCTTTTCTCTCCGGTGTTTTCCTTCGCCAAACAAGATAACCAATTTGAAACTCTGTCTAAGGAGTTGAAGTACAAATAGACTCCAAACCCAAACAGACTGGTGAGAAATGATTTTCTCGTACTTTTTTTCCTCTCTCTTGTAATGAAATGTGGAGAGAGAGAAAGGGAACTGATTGGTTGAAGTAATAAGAGGGAATGGAGTGGAATGGGAGGGTGGAGAGGGGCTTATGTAAGTGGGATTAAAGTTATAAAAAATTGGATATGGGAGAGGGTGGGGCGGAAGTTGGTGGATCAAGGCACTTGGATTCGCACACGCTGACCCATTTGCACACACAACAGTCCTGCACGTGGTAACACTGATCATGCACGTGATATTGAGGATGGAATTAGTGTGTTTTAATACTATTGTAATTTTCCCAAAAAAAAAAAAAAAAAAAAATACTTAATAACTAGAGCATTTTTGTTTAACCAGTGGGAAACGACATTTTCTTGATGAGGAATCCATGCAAGAGATGATCCCAAACAAGCTTTGAAAAGAGACACTACATAATTAAAAACAACCATTAAAGGTTCAATAGAAGCCTACAAATTCATAACAGATTGACAAACCCCCTCTACTACAACATCCTGATATTCCCAAGACTCACGAAGAATCAAACCTTCAGCTAGTGACAGACCACCGACATTTTCTAGAAAAAATTGAAGCAATTTTGATGGGATGACCAAGATGGTTTCGACGAATCAGACAACCTCCACAAACCTTCTTGAAAGGATTAAATGCAGCAGTTAAGAATGATTCACAATGTAGGAATATGTTCGGTTGAATGGGATCCGGTGGATAGAATTATGTAATAAAATAATAATGATAGATAAGTTGAAAGTAAAATTTTATAGGGTCGCTATAATTAGACAAATTATGTTTTATGGAGTATAATGTTGGGTTTCAACGCTAAAGGCCTATAGATAATCGAACAGTTGAGGAGATAGAAGTGTGTGAGAGAGAGCCCAATTTTTCGAGTCCAGTTGAGCTTGGCTTGAACATTGCTCGTCAACTCATGCTCAATTCTTTTATCAAATTCAAATTTTAGCTACAACTCAAACTTATAATAAAGATAGATATGTAAATAAATTAATGATAAATCTAAAACGGTATTGTTTTTTTAAAGGTCTTTTAATGGGGGAATTTTCAATTCATTCAGAAAATTTAAATCAAAGACTTGTGCGATGGAGGGGTTTGAATTTACACTCATTATACTTACTACGATTTGTCCAAACACCAAAAATGCATTGTACCGTCCAATTGTTTATAAGGTCAAGTTCAGAAAACATTCAGGCCTAATGAATACTTTGCATAATACTTTCACCCTTATTTGAAAATGTGTGCTAAAAACATTCATATTCTTTTAAAATTGTGCGAAAAAACCCTCAATAAAAAATTTGACATAAAAGTAATATTGTAATACCCATTTTGCTCTTCTAAAAATGTCCAAGGAGGTGTGTATACTAATAATCTTATAGTATATAAATGTTATGTGCACATTAACTATATTTAACGCACTTTTAAGAATTTTCTCACTTTTTTGAAAAAAAATTCTCTCCATATATTTTGGCTAACGGTTTATCTTTTTTAAATTAAAAAAAAATTATTATCACAATTGTCAACTTAATGTAAAGTAAATCATATGAAATGAAAATTTCAGTTCATTTTATAATTAAAAATAAATAAAAAATTTATTCTCAATTAAATTTTGATATGATTATCCATTTTTATTATATATATAATTAAAAATTTTAATTAAAGATACTTATTCATTATATATAAACAATATACATTTAACTTATAAAATTTTAGAATTTACAATAAATTTTCAAACTTATATATATATATATATATATATATATATATATATATATAATTTTTCACATAGCAACAAATGGGTATTGTATCTTTATTGAGAAAAAATAAAAATAAATAAATGGGTATTTAAAAACCTACCATTATCGTACTATTCAAATCGCGATAAAACTACGTTCTCAATTAAATGTAACTTTTAAAATCAAAATATTCAAAAGAACAACAATTTATAAAGTGCAGAAAATACCAATATAATATACTTAAAGTGTATATCACACCCTCATATACTAAATGATTATTTTCGTTAATTCATAAAATGATATATATTTAAATAATAATATATAAAATGTGTATATAAAAATAATTTAATCAAAATATAATTTAAATGTGTCAAGAGGAACCATTTGCATCATACCCATGTGCACCATTATTGAAACTTTAGAAGTATGTTTTTTACCCCATAGACACTCTAAACTGGCAACTCGAAGCAAGCTGATTTTTGTGCCACGATGAGACAGATAGGGTTATCAAGTGCCACGTGTCAGAATTGTATGGTTTTGCGTGGCATCTGGAATGTTTTGACCTTCATATTTAGTGCAACTCTGAGATCAATCAACAGAAAAAGAAAAGGAAATAAAAATTGTCACATCGAGAGAGAGAGAGAAAAAGAGATGGAATCGGAGGAGGACAAGATAGAGCTCATACAGATTGCAATACAACAACTAATGGAAGAAGAAAAGACTGATTACAACAAAGACCAAACCCTCCTCCTCTCCAGATTGCTTGCTCAGGTGAAACCCAAAACCTATCAATTACTCTCTTTATATCTCTCTCCCGATTAAATTGTTTGGTCACCAACAAATTGATATATAGGGCTAGGGTTTTCTAGGGCTTGATTTAGTTTTTTTTTTCCCTAGTTCTATGGCTTGATTTAGTTACAGAAGAAAAAGTAAATAAATAAAATTAAAATTTGCATCTGTTTTAAGAAAGAAACATATGTCTTTTAATGTTCCATGTTGCATGAGAGATTCAATAAGAAATTGCAGAACCTTGTTTTGATTGAATGAATGTGAGTAAAATTGGAAGGAACTGCCAGAAATTTGTATGTGCTATGACAGAAAGATTGGAACTAAGATAGGGAAGTTAAAGAGATGGACCAAGTTTTCTTTTTTAGTGGTAAAGAGGAAAGCACCCGTTGAGTTCAGTGCACGAGGTTTCTGCTATTGCGAGGTCATATGCAAAGAGACTTTTAGGTTTTCTCTTTCAAATTCGTAACTTTTTGATCCAGTGCACGTGTCTTCTGTCATTGCGGAGTCTGATGCAAAGAGTATATGTTTTAGGGTGTCTCCTGCTATTGCGTACTCTAACACAAAGAGGCCGTTTTAGGTTTTTTCATTCAAACTCGTAACTTTCAGGTCACAATTGGACGGAGACCCACGCCTTGTAGTTGAAGGGAAGAAATGTAGAAGTCGTGGGACAGCTCCCAATTTTGGGAAATGTCATTTTATTTCCTCTCATATCTTCCATTCCCCTTTTCCTCCTACCAGTCAATGGAAAAATTATCCAGCCCCACCTTCCCTTCTTTTTCCTATTTTTGTTCTACTAAAGGGACAAACTCTTAACTAGTTAGAGGTGTCTTTATGGACATTGGATCCCTTTTTCACTTCCCTTGCCTACATTCATATTGTTTTAATTCATTTTTCTTGAGTTCATTCGAGTCAAACACATATATTTTCTTGTGTTTTTAAGTTAAAAGTACCTTTTTTATTAAAAAAGGATTTCAAATTATGAACGAGTGTAAAATTCAGCATCATCCTATGGAAACTTGAAAAGCTTATTATTGTGCTCTGTAATTTGGTTTCGAAACTATTTTCTTAGCATCTGTACTTGTTGGTTTTTGAATTTCAAGGGAAATGAACCGTAAACATCATAATGACAAATCATTATAATTATCTTCACCTAATTCCATAGCTTCTGGCACCAATATAACTACCATAGCTACAACAAACTAATTCTAGCACTGATATTGTCAATTCATCACCATTCACTGCAAACGTTGTATCAGTGCTATCAATCCACTTCTGACATTAATGTTATCGTGGAGCCACGACCAGTCATCTAACCACCACCATTATCATCAAATATGCCAGCAACCATTTCTGGTGTTGCAACCTTAACCGCCATCATTGCCATCACGAACTCCGTTGCCCTGTTTGTCAATGGCTCCACCAACACAATGGTGCCGTGACTCCATTACCCCCACACCCACCACCTCTATTACTTCCATCTACCATGTGTTGTACTTTTGAATTCCAAAGCATCTTATTTGCTTGAATTTGAATTATTTTGTAATAAGATTGGAGAATATTTGTATAATTCTGTAGAGAAATAAATTTATATGTTTCTTGTCATTTGTATTAACAGTTGGAAACATTCAAAGTAGATAACGAACTTCTGCAACCTGAACCATCATCTGATCCAATAGGGGTAGCTTTCCCTGCAGATGGCATATTGGGGACAGTGACGGGGGCTTCTGAAGAGGTGGATGGCGGTAGCATTGAAGTTGGAAGAGATGAGATTGTCAAAGAGCGTAGAGAGGTTAAGAGGCAGAATTTCGTAACTCATTGCCTTCTTTCAGCTGTGATTGTCCTCACTCTTGCATGGCAGATATCTGAGTTCTCTCTAATCTTGAAAGTTAAAAATGGATTGACCAATCCTTTTGGTTTTGTCGGTGGCATGCTCACAGGGTTCCTAAAACGTCCCGGTAAGAATGACCAGGACGGGGAGAAACAATCCTCGTCAACCCAAAAGCATACTGAAGCCCCTGCACTCCCAGTCAAGATTTCGGAACTTCCTCAAATCGTACAGGACTTGGGTTTGGATGGGGATGATGAAAAGTGATGAATTCTTACTCCTGTGTCCGAAATGAGCCGGGGAAAAGAAAGGGGTACTAGGAAACCTGTCTCCCCAGTCAACATTGTCCTCCTATCTTTGTTGCAAAATTGTACAAGACAATTTATGATATTGTTTAATTGTTAAATGTGAGTGATGAAGAAGCATTTCTGGTAGAATTTACCAAACAATAACTATTTAAAAAGAACAAACAGAGCATTTATCTTTTCCTTTCTGGACAAAATAGTTTCATTTGACAGCTGTTCTAAATGGTGACTACTTGAGCAGGATCACTAACAGATGAACAATCTGATTTAAGAGCTGTAGTCAGTCATACTTCTTGGCAAGGAGAAATTATTCCTATGGTTTGGGACTACACAGTCCTGGCCAATCACAAGAGTTGACATGCACGCAAAAAGCTGAATAAAGCTGACACATTTGCTTGCATGGTTAGATTGTGATTGGCGGGGACAATGTAATCCTGACCTGACATTGTGATTGGCGGGGATAATGTAATCCCGACCTGACATGCACACAAAAAGCTGACATATTTGCTTACATGTTAGATTGTGATTGGCTAGGGCAATGTTATCCCGAACCATGTAAAAATTTGTGAGTTAGGTTTCTAGTTCTCCCATAGGGAAGACGCTGCCGGTTTACCTGTGTACTTCACCTCTCTGCTTTGCACATTTTTATAGATCTTTCACATAAGCTTTCAGTATGCGCAAATAATACCATACAAGAAGTTGAATTTAACAAAGTGAAGAGAAACATGAGGAGGCTGCACAGCCACCCAACTTGATGGACTCCGAACACTACTTGAAGAGAAACTAGCAATAAGCACCAGCAAGCAGTGTTAAATTTTGCAGATGGACCAAAATGGACAATTTACTTCGCGGTATTTACCATAGCATTTTCTTTGACAATTGATTGACCTCTGTATTCGATGCAAAAATGACTCCTCAAATCACTTTTGAAATGCAGATTTTAAAACCTTAAATCTAAACAAGATCATTACGCCAAGTCTTCATGAATCTTGCATTCAGTACAAGGAAGAATGTTTTCTACAAATCATCAATCACAAAAGCTCTTCAACACACAAATCATTAAGCAAGTCTTCAAATATCTTGCATTCATGTCAACAAATCAATCACAAAAGGCAGCAAATCATTAAAGCATAACCAATCCACAAAAATCCACAGATTTCATTCCAAAAGTCTGGCACTAAACGGAGAAAACTGATTTGTTCACCTTTTGTATTGAGCTATCCTCGTCTTCATGCATAGTTCAACCGGAAAATGTCGTTCAACACATAAAAGCTACCCTGTGGTGTTGTCATCAAATGGAACATCTGGAACAAAAAAGATGAGACGAACAAAAAAAAAAAAAAAAAAATGGTAAACAAGGCATTGTCAGGAATTTGCAACAAGAGTAGGAGCTCAATAAAGCCTACTTCAAAAGGGAAGAGCAAGGTAAATAAAGCAAAGTCATTATTTATCTCCTCCCACTTTAAGTCCACAAAAAGACATAAATATCAAACTTTTACCTGTATATATGATAACATAAAAACCTAATATGTATTTAGAAGGAAAAAAAAAAACCTACTATGCATATTTCCTTGTAATTTATAATCTCGGTATTACGTGTCTATCTTGTTGGGATTTATATGCCCTGGCATAGCAAATTCCTATCTAGATTATAGTGACATATGTTCCTGACATATCTGAAATATTTATGATTTATATAATTGGTGAATTCAATGTATTATGTTTCGATTCACTATGAAATTGATAGTGTCCATGTAATTACAAGAAATATTTATATATATGTATGTGATGACAATCAATGCATGATATATAAATAGTAATTATAAATTGTTCATAGTCGGTAATTATGGATGGACTCATAATTAATTAAGACTTGAACTGGATCCGCGTTAGGTTGAGATATATTGCGAGAGCCGTCGTATGCAATTACTCCCTATCACCGTCATGGCATTTGACTCTTAAGCATGAGAAAAGTATAGACTCTTTTATTAATTAATAATTACTTTGATTTGTTCGGCGGATTCTTCGGGATCCTTAGACCGACACTTTGGGTAGTTATGTAATTAATAGTTAGAGGGTTATATTTTCAATATTTGCATCATTGCTACTTGTATTTATTTTGTATTGATTATGGTTGATCACAAAGTAAATTCGAAGGCCTTCGTGTGTTTTTAGACAAAATGATTTATTATATATTTATTTATTTAAATTATTATTTTTGTCAAACAAATGTTTTATTGTGATCGAGTCAGAAATAATCAAAGGTACCAAAATAAATATATTAATTAAGTAGTCGGATTGATGGCTATATTTATCCGATAACTAATTATGCATAGAGGGGTCAAAGTGCAATATTGACTTAGAGGTTATTTATTATTTAATTGGAGTTCAATTAATTTCTTTTAGTGGAGTAGAAATTAATTTATGAATTAATTGAATTGGGTCCATGGACCGGGCCAATTATTAATTCATTGTAGCCAATAAAATAATAGGCCCAATGGATTCTCACTCATAGCCCAACTTGATATTGGAATCATATTAGATTTGAGACATATGAATTAGAGATGGAGAATGATTTGTTGTTTCCTTTTCTTTATTTTTATGTTGCCTATAAATATACATGGTCTATGTATATTTTAGGGGGTGAATTTTATGAGAAGGAAAAAGGAATATATTTTCTCTCTCTAGAAAATTAGGGTTTATGTTCTCATCTAATGGAGGCTCCCACAAGCCTAGTTTTCCAAGGTCATTCATGGAGGCTTATGAGTGATTCCTAAAGGCAAAACAATTACCAAGAAGATGGAGATCCATGGAAAAGGTGTCTAGCAAAAGGGATCTACAATAAGTGAGAACATTCACTTTAGAGGAGAGATCTAAGGTTTACTCAAACCTTGATGTAAGTATTCTATCTTTTAATTGAATGATACATCATGTTTTTATTTTTGCATAAAACTTGTCTCTATGTGATGAATCAAGATCTATGAATCAAAATCCTTCGAAAAGTTTTTAAAACTTGCACGTTTCCCAACAATGGTATCAGAGCCAGGTTTGATTCATTACTAGAGATCATGATTTTATGAAAATCATCATTCATGGATCCAAAATTATATTCATATATATTTTTATTGATGTATGTTGATATATGATTTAATATGTTGATATATATTGATACATAATGATGTATGAATGATTGTGAATGAATGATGATGTATGGTTGGGCCATGGATGAAGCTTATAGGTTAAATTAATGTAATTTTATCTTTGGATGAATGTAATTAAGGCTTTGATTTAGCCGTTTGAAAGTTCAATGATGTATAAATTTTTTCCATTGTATTTCAAATTGTAAATATTTTTAAAGCCATGTAATCTTCATCAAAGGGTGCTATGAAGCTTCAAGAAGGTCCAAGAGGGTTAAATTAGGCTTCAGGAATTTTCTGGGATTTTTTAGAAATTTTTCGGAATTTTTCTGGAATTTTTTAAGGCCTAATTTAATTTCTGGAAATTTTTATTAATTTTTCTAGATTTTTCGGCGATTTTCCGGCGACCGGAGTATGGCCGGCGACAAGGGACAGCTCCGGAAGGTGGACGGATGATCCGGTGTGGTGCAGTATACATGAGCGCGCATCAGCAACCGTCGGATCAAAGTTCAGCGGGGCAAAGATCCAGTGGAACACGGCTGGAAGTTGCCCCATGCACCAGCAGTAGCAAGGCGCGTGCATGACACGCGTCGGAACCACATCAGCGCGCATGGCGCGTGCCAGCGCGTGGAACGCGCTGGCTATTCGCACACGCGCGTGCCCGCGCGTGGGAGCGCGTGGCACGCGCTTCAGCATTCTCCCAGCGCGTGCAGGCGCGTGGGAGCGCGTGGCACGCGCTGGAGACCTCAGAGACGCGTCCAGGCGCGTGAAGAGGTTGGAAGGCGCGTGGTAAGCGCGTGTTGGTGCGTGTAAGACTATTCAAGCGCATTCGGACCGCCGTTTTGCTTCTCCTGGTGCGTACCAGCCTTATGTGGGTGTTTGCAAGCCGATGGATGATCTTCCCGCGATAGTTAGAGTAGTTAAATGTTAAAAGCTGAATCCATTGACCATTTAATTTGCTTTATCTGTCATTTATTGTTGTATGTGATGCATGAAATAATTAATTGCTAATTATTATTGTTCATGCATTGGATCCATGATATTTATTTAAATGGCTTGATTTATATTAATTAAATTATGAAAATTAATTAGATTATATTACTAATTAATTTGAGGGCACTTATTGGGAAACGAAAAATTGTTTTTGTAAATTATTTTTAAAGTGTGCTTCAAATTAAATATTAGTGAATCGTTTAAAGTCCAAATATTTTCTAAATTTAATTGGATTAAAATCAAGACGTTTTGCATGCATTATATCATGTAAATGAATAAGATGAAAACCCTAATTATGAATGATTAAAAATTGAGTGGGAGCGGGGATTTTTATACATTGCCCCATGGCCTTTGTTATTAACACCATTGTAATTAGATCTTCAAAAATAAGGCCCCACGCATGATTTGAAGAGTCTTAATATTACAAGAATGGTTGTCTCATGAAAATACAAATATTAAATGTTCATTGTAATTAGATCTTTAAAAATAAGGCCCTACGCATGATTTAAAGAGTCTAGATTATAATGACAACATATTTAATGTTTAATTTTTCGTTAGAGTTTTAATAACGTTATACACTCAATCTAAAATCAATAGTGTTAGCTTCCCAACGAAGTGGTCTATACTAGGTGATTTTAGAAAGGCTAAATTAAATCGGGAATCATTTCATATGATAGACAAGGCATTGTCTTAAGAGATATGGAAATGATGGGATTTGCCCGCCAATAGCAATAATGAACTTCGCCAACCGAATAAGTTATTGGCGTATTGGTTATTCGATTTTTCATGCAGTGGTTAAGGGACCCACATATTATTATTTTAATGGAAGTGCTCACCTAAATAGTAAATGAATCTCAACAATAGTAATAATGAACTCCTCCAACGGGATAAGTTATTGACATATTGATTGGTTGATTTATTATGCTACAGAGTTGAGGGACCCGCATTAATTAAAAGGGATTGTTCATCAATAATGATAATGATCTCTTGTTTGATTGAGAT